CTGCCCAGGGAAGTGGTTGAGTCCCCATCCCTGGAGGTATTTAAAAGACGAGTAGATGAGGCACCTAGGGACATGGTTTAGTGGGCATGGTGGCGTTGGGTTGACGGTTGGACTCGATGATCTTAGAGGTCTTTTCCAACCTCAATGATTCTATGATTCTATAATCCATAACAATCTTGGACAGACTAAGACTTCAGTGACAGTGGACACATTTTCCTTTTTAAACCAGACACTGATGGTATTAAATTTACCTAAGTTGTAGTGCCTGTTCCACACAAAACTATGTTTGTAAACTGGGGACAGGATTCCAAGCAAGCATTACTTTGAGACTGAACTCTCCTTGTTATAAACTTCTGCAATATAGCCAAACAAGTTTTGCCCCAGCTGTCATCTTCATACACAAAGATAATTCGCATTTTTTTTTCTGAGCTTATAGCTGTTGATGAATAATCACATTAAATTTAGGGATGATTTCACATTAAGAACCAACAGCAAGAACAGCTAAGTTTCAAGAGATGAAAATTACATTACCTGCAAGTATAACACATGATTACAAAGAGCCATTAGACATTCAATACGAAATCTGCCCCAACGCAGCTACGTCCATAGGCAGTAGCACTACGGAAAATTTGCTGTGCTGTTTGGTGCCATTAAAGCAGGGAAAAAAAAGCATTCAAATAATTGAACTAGTGAAAGCATTAAAAAGCATACCCTTCACTGTCACTAATATCATATGGCCAGCACGAACATTCTTCCAAGAAAGCATATATGATTTTAAAATGGTAACAGTTTAGGTAACAAACGGGATCCCCTCCTTACCCCTGAGGCATCTGACAGGAGCAGCACATATAAAATGCTTGAATGACAGCACTTAGCCTGTTTGCTGTCATGGAGATAACATCCTGGCAATCAGCACAAGCTTCCTGCTTCCCAGCAACATCGTATGTTTTCGACTCGCCAGCGTCAGCGGATAGCTCTTTTCTGCCCTCGGTTCCTGCAGCAGCAGCAAAGGAAGGCATAGGAGTAGCATCCTGGTGATCTGGTCCTTTTTGCTTCAGTAAAATAGAAGTAATATTGGCAGAGTCCCTTTTGTTTTTCATCAGCTCCGTGGCTATAAGAACGAGCCATTCATCTAGAGAATGCCAGAGCAGTTCCAGTGGCTGCAATAAACACATGCAAAAACAGACAAAAAAGGAACTTGTTGACATTAGATAATATTAATGATGTGACAATCTTCTGAAGGCAAATAAATATCATGCACATTTAAAAGCTTTAAATGACCCTTTAGAAGTCATGTTAGAGATAAGAGTCAAAGACTCAAAAAATTCTGTACTTGTAGCCATAGAGCGCAGAGAGAAAAACGTCATATAGAAGGAAAATAATCAAGCAGCAGATGGAATAAAGATAAAGTAATTTAGAAAGAGTGAAACACTGAACTATTTAACAGAGTTTGGCGTCACGGTTGTTACATGGCACACAACTGTCTGACTGCTGCAGTCAAGCAGAGAGACAATAATACACATGTTGAGTTTCCAGAATAAGAGTGCGTCACTTCTTTAAGGCCCTGGTCAAAGCAGCTCCCTCTACCAGGTAGATGGAGCAAACCCCAGACAATGCCACTGAGATTCAGACTCATACACATATCTTGCAAGATGTGCTTTATGCATAGTGTGAGCTCATACAACTTGTTTTGATAATACCCCAGACATCTCAGAGTAAGGGTCACTAACACCTAGCTTTATGAAACAGAAACAAATATCAGCAGAATCACGTGTCAATTTTTAAAGCTGTAGATTTTATTTTAACAAAGTCACTCTTTATTCACTACCAGCAGCTTAAAACCAATATAATTGAAACCTGGTACAATTCCATCATTACACATTTGCTCTGAGGTGCAGACCTACTACAGAGGAGAGAAAGGGCTGAGAGACCTGTGGCTTTCTCACGAGCATTTCAAAAAAACATGAGGGCTGACTGTGCTGTCCCTTAATGGTGTTTAAGGGGACGCTTCACAAGCATACAGTCTAGTGAGCGCAGGGATATGTATCCTACAGGGAGGCAATTCTGACTCAAGTCTTTCAGAGCATTCCAAAAGTAAGAGTGAACTTCTAAATAGTTGAAGTGAATGAACTTTTTCCATATAGTACTGTTGCATCAACATTTTTCACCAATTAAAGCATTCAAAGACTTAGCAGATACTGAAAATTTTGTTCTCATCTTCTAAAGTTGCCTTTAAAAATTAAGAGCTGTTCACAGAACACTATACCAGAAGTCTACAGTATCTGGAGCACTATCAGTACACCTAAAGTCTACAGTCTGGAGCACTATCAGTACACCTAATAGCAACACACTCTCAATACACAATAAATTACTTCTCGTAAAAGCTGTGTATTAAAAAATTCTGTTGAAATTTACCATTAAAAAAAATTTACCATTATGCTTCCATTTTTTCCCCCCAATAAGAATTTCAGGGAAAGCCAGCCTGATCTCCAAGACTGGTAGGCTTTGCTCAACATACTGTATGACACTCACTTAATCCTTGTACTCCCGGTGACCACACACTTCTCTAGATGGTGATCTGAATACCTCCAGTGTGGGTATCATTTTCTACATAAATATCTGCCATACAGGATCAAGTTAGCTTCTTTCCAAGACCTACCTGGCAAACCTTCACCACAAAACATAATGTAGAAAAACTGTCTAATGGAAAATAGGATTCATTGAAGAATTAAAATGCAGCTGTGTTCTTAACATGTAACTCACAAGAAACTAGGTAGTTATTTACTAGAATACTAAAATGCAGTTTTCTTCTCCCAAACTTTTCAGTGTTTAGCTTGCCAGACACCGTTTTTCCGCTATCTTGTGTTTTATCTTTTATTTCCCACAGACTTAGCATGCCTTTCAGAACTCTTACAACTGATTTGTTTTTCCAAAGCTAGTTTTTCCACAGATTCTGATCACAAACTCATTCAAAAGCGTAGTCAAGCATAGCAAATTTGACATTTCACTTTCTTTTTTCCTAGTCTAACTTCACAATATAAAGCACTCCTAAATATTGCCCATCACCTCCATATCCATGGCTGTCAGCATTTTATGTTAGCATCCATGATCAGACCTTTTCAAGCATAATATGGATATATTCAATCAAACCATTAGCAGCATTTTTTAAAACTACAAGTCAGCATTCTTCAGTCGATTCTTACCATGAACTGCATATTGAACACAAACCTCCATCCAACCTTCAGTTTTCGTTTCTCACTTTTCAGAAAAGTTTCTTTGGAATTATACATCTGAGTGATCAAGTACTGAGCTTTTACAGCTGCATACCTCGTCTCCCAAATGCAAGGATTTAGCTATGCAACACCTTCTTCTCTACCCATCTAGAAAGCAAGACACTAGAAATCAAACCCATATTCAAACTGCGACATTGGAGCAAAATCTTTTGCCAGGTGACAGATAGTTAGTCTTTTAAGACACAGGGAGCAGGCGATCACTAATCCATGAAGCGACTGTGTCACAGCAGAGAAGTCAATTCTATTCTAGAAAAGAACAGTATCTGAAATGAAGGAAAAATGTTACGGGCTTCCCAACTTTGTTCAATTAGACAGGGATATTTTGCAGCAAGTTTCCCTAATATGTCATCATACTGAACAGCAACTGGAAGGGCGATACATGAAGAAGTAATGAATGTAAACCTGGTCAAAATTACTATTCATAAAGTGTCTCGCTGTTAGGATCTCATTTGAGTTAGCGGTAGCTTGTTTCAAGATTGGGTGTCAAAATTCAATGACTGTTTTGTTTCTTGCAAGATCAGTACAAGAGCGTGCCTTAATTTGCTAGTATTTCCACTTTAAAGCATTTCAATAGGCCTGAATTGACCAGGCCTGTACTGAATTACATACAGGGAACTTCAGTAAAGCAAAGATGGCCCTGTGATTTTCTTGTCCTTGTCAAGCAATAACATTCCTCAGCAGCCTCAGATCAAGATATACTCACATTTTCAATCCCTTCCAAGCTGGATTACAGTGACAACTCTTCAAAATACGTTCAATCAGTACACTAATACAGAAAACCTTAACACAGCATTAAGAAAAGAGTCAGAGGAAAGTTTTTCTTCATTTCTTATACCGGATAAAATATTTTTGCACCAGCTTTTTAGAACGAGTTATGAAGTACATCTTTAAAGGTCATCAAGTACAGATCTATTTGGACCTAACAGGAGTGCATTCAGAAGGAAAGGAAACAATCCCTTATACCATGCAATAAAGCCTGATAATGTTCCTCCGCATATCCCACAAGGGTACCACAAGACAGAACTCCTGCCACTGCTACCCTCAGTCCTCCCCAGATAAAAGTTTTGAGGTCCATTCTTGAAAGACGACAGTATTGAACAACAGATTAGCTTCCTATACAGTAAAGAAAGACAATATCTTGAGGACTTCACTTGCACAAATAAAGAGCATTCAAAGAAGTGGGTGGTGACCTGTATCACTTTCTCGTGCTCTGGAAATTACTCAAGACCTTACATGGGACATGAACAAGCAGTCAGAGACTTGGTTTTCCCCATAAAACCTGTATCAGAATTCAAATTATCTACAACATTTATCCCCAACAACTGAATTCAAAGATCGGCAGCAAATTCCAACTTACAGGTACTTTCCTCTAAAATTTTCAATATGGATCTCAAATTTAAAATCTTTAAGCTCCATGTTGACTTTTTTAATACGGATTTAACTCCCGTTTTGGAGCAGCAACCTCTGTGGTTTCCCTAATAGCCTGTACTAAACAGTTACACAGCCTATATTCAAGAAAACTCAAATAAAACAAAAACCAGAAAAGGAGTTCTTTGTCACTGACCTGCATGTCCCGCATGCAAGTACTGGTACCAATGAAGGCATACAACTGCCAGGTCTTCAGGTAGCCTCTGTACCATTGTAATAAACTAGAGATATAGTGGGCTTTTTCCCCTTCTCCCAAAAGGTTAAAGGGATGATCACAACCATGTTTTCAAGGAAAGGACAAAAAAGAAAAAGGGAAGGTAAGAATAAGAGAATGGGAAGTCACCCAATGGACTCAGCACTACGTCTAATCTCCTGCTACCCAGTTGCTGTAAATTTAGGGAAGAACAGGCTAATCCAACCACAACTGAAGATTAACTTTACATTGCCAGACCTGTGTGCCCCATTCCCAAACAAGAATAAGTTCTCATCAGCAGTTTTGTATTTCTGAGTTTGAAATTTAAATCAACCTTAAAAATATCATGGACACAACAGTGGCCCTAATGAAGGGCTGCCTCGGTTTTAATACTTCTAAAATAAATTAAAATAGCAGCAATAATAATTTTAAAATCATCCTGAAATTTTTGTTTTGTTAGCTAATGCAACAGTAGTATATATTTTGCTTATTTATTAAAAAACATAAATGTTCTTTTTACACAATTAAGAACTACTGATATTTTCTGGGACAACCGTGCCAGTTGTGTAATGTAAGTCTACTGCACAAGACTTAACTCCATACTAAATTGAGAAACAATTCTTTCAGCATACAAAGTAGTTTGGGCACACAGATAAGTGATTCTGCTGAAATACAGTTTCCTCCGCAAATTGCAGTTGCATATTTGTTTGTTTTATAGTGAGTTCTGAAGTTATCTGGAGTTGAAAAGCATGAAACTTTTTTTTTCCCCCTTTTTGGGCTATGAGCAAACACAAAACGCAAGAAGAGGTCAGCTACTCCTAAAACCTTGAAGAAAAAGAGGTAGCAGAATATCTACACAGAAAGGTAACAGAAGATCTCACTGCAGATAGTTCCTGTATTAAGCACATTTAACATCTGCTTGTTATTTAATCTAGTATATTTAAATCAATTTTCATTAAAACTGTTAGAAAATGCTATCTTTAATAAAACTATTCTTCTGATTTGGGTAGGTCTTTAATAAAATTATTCTTCTGATTTGGGTAGGTCTGTTTTTTGAAAATGGTAATCTGGTTAAACTCACAATGTGTCAATCTAGCTCAATATATTTCAGCGAACAACTCTAAGGGACAATTACTACATTGCATACTGTACAATGCATTACATTTTGCACACAGTATTTTATACACTCAAGCACTAGATTTATATTAATAATATAAATCAATTCGCTATTAAAACTATTTTGCTATCAGAAACACAAACATTTGTGCTCGTTTTTAAATAGTCTAATGCTTTCCTTCTTTCCAAGAGAAGAAGTTTAAACAAAAACTGAGCTACTTAACTAAATATAGCTGGAATTAGAGTATCATCTTTCATGACCTTATCAATACAGCTCTGTCTTAAAAGTCATTAGAAGTAACTTGATGAACACATATCATCAAGTAAATGCAGTAATTTCAAAATATTGTTTTCACAACACCCTGGAAGAAGTGCAAAGGTTAAGTAAAATTCTCATGTAATCATTGGCATCTAAATTTGGTGATATGAACTGTGCCATGTAAGAGTATGGCAGAAGATAGGGGAAAAGAGACTAGCCTTCAGTTCTCATTATTTAAGTGCTCTGAATAGTATGTCAGTTATATACCCAATGCAGATTGAGTGGCACGCAGGAAACCAGGACTGCTTTACAGAAAGGCAAGCTATGATTTTCTACAAAGGGATTCCCTCAACCAACAAGCATAAAAAACAACCTTCAGAAATTAAACATCTAAACGGCAAGCACCTAAAGCAAGTGTTTGAAAACAGCTATAAATCAATAACCTTGCGAGGGTAGTAGTAAGCTGGTATGTTTAAAGCATGTGATAGTAAAATTCAAGAAAAAAATTTCGTGGTCACAGTGAAAACAATGAACAGATTAAGAATTCAATTATTTCCATTTATCTTGTGAAGTTAGGTAAAACTGAATGATCAGAACTCCCAATGACTCCAAATATCATTTTGAAATTACATTAATACAATCTATTATACAAATATTACCACATTTTGAGATTACTACACTCTTAAGTAACAGAATAGAAATAAAAACAAAGTTTACCAAAATCAGCTGGGTAACTAAACTTTCAACATCTAATAAACAATATATTAAATAAGAAATAAACAGAAATTATGAGATGAGATGTGCATCAGTGGTTAAATGAATCCAGCGGGAAAAAAATAATTAAGGAGAAGGAAAGAGGTAGGCTTAACTTAAGAAGGGATAGGGACATCAACCAAACTTACTTCCTGTTCATGAGATGTCTGATTAATGAATGCATGCTTTGTGAAATTCATCTCTTTAACGTCTATCTTCCTAACAACATCATATACTTTTCTGACCTTGAACACCTGACTTCTTGGAGTTTTATTTCCATTGTAGCCCATGTCATTTCCATTACTGGGAGAGGATGGGCCAATGCGAAAGACATGGCAAAATATCCTCACGATCCTTAAGAGACTCTTCATTTGAGCTTCATAATTACTTGACAAGCTGGGGGAAAAAATGGAATATTTAAGTTTCTTTTCCTAGATGAAACAATTTAGTATATTAAGGAGTAAGCAATCTAATGGTAGGGTCTAACACACATGCTGAAACAAACCCTAAGCTTTAAACCCTAGTGAATTTTAACTTTCATTTCCTGCACCAGCCCCAAAAGTCAAATATAAGCACTATAATTTTACTAACATGTACTCATGATTTTAACTAGAAGTGACATAAGAACAGCAAATTGCAGATCTTGCAAAATACTGCATTTCTTTTTACGCACATGGACACTTGTCATGAACTGCTGGTAAGAAATTCAACTTACTACAGTAAGGATCTCAACGCATGAAACAAATTGGGATATCCAGATGAAAATGTTTTTCAATCCAGAAGAGATAGCATCCAATGGTAAAAGCATACTGACTAATTAGATATGCTGCCACAGCCCATCCTCACCTAGCTATTATCCTAAATGCTTATTGACTACCTTAATCAGACAAGGGATCAGAATGGTAAAGATGCCACTACTTCTACTCAAGAGAAACATCATACAAATTGGGATATCCAGATGAAAATGTTTTTCAATCCAGAAGAGATAGCATCCAATGGTAAAAGCATACTGACTAATTAGATATGCTGCCACAGCCCATCCTCACCTAGCTATTATCCTAAATGCTTATTGACTACCTTAATCAGACAAGGGATCAGAATGGTAAAGATGCCACTACTTCTACTCAAGAGAAACATCATCTAAAAGATACTACATAAAAGCACCACTATGTTATTTATTTATCCGATATATTAAAAGTTTTGTCTTCTTAACTGAACTGGCCAACACGGAACTCTGTACCAATACAGTGTAGAATATGAGATATTCATGAGTTCATGCACAAGCATAACATTCTCCACCAAATTCAACTTGGTTTTCTTTCCTTAAACCCCAAGTAGTAAGAATTCTTCTGTCTTGAACACGTAACAAAAACTGCAAGAAATTAAGACTTTTCCTACTGAACTTTACTCACTTCTATAATATTTATAAGTGAGCACATATTCAATTCTATCCTCACAGGACTTGCAGCTTAAAAGCATGCTTTCTAACTATAAGATCAGTATACACCAGAAAACTGACACCTTACAGGATGCTGTAAACCTCTGATGCAATTAATAATTTGTTAATTCACAAATCTGAAACATAGCTAGTTGTAACATCACAGTACCTTTATCATGACCTCACTCTCCCTATGGCATGGGTAAAAGCAAAAGACATTTGTTTTCAGCACTACATTTTAATGACTGCCAGCGACGTGTTCATTTTGAAGAGCCATATACAAAGAATTTTACCAAACTGATACACAAAGTATGAGTTTCTTGTCACAATCTAGACTTGAACTAGAGAAGCTTTCAGTAAATTGAGACAAGAAAGGAACACAAAGAGTAAACAGTGTAACACTAGAAACATTAAGTCTTCAACCAGGTAATGAAAATCACCTGACTAGCAGGCTGTAATTATGTTACCAGAAGCTCCGGTCACAGCCACAAATTAGCATTTGTAAAATCTTTGCATATATATACCAAAATAATCTATGAATACAAGAAGCTAACTCAAGAAGCTAACTTAAGCATTGAAAAAAAAAAACCCAAACATTTCAATTGAGGTTTATCATCCCTCAGCAGCAGTGTTTTCCTGGTGAAATTTCAGTTTAAGTCTCCTGGTCTCCAGGAAGAGGACCCACATATATAGGAAAACCTTAAAGCACTTTTAATAGTTTACTGAAGCTTTTATCAGCATGTTTGTAAACATTCAGCTAGGCTCAATCTGCCCCAGCAAGACCAAATCATGTCACACTACAATTGTTTCTTGGAAAGAGGAAATACACAATGGAGGTAATCCTAACTGAGCAGGCTCTTTGCTGGTATTCAAGGCAGGAGTCCTCAGGCAGAAGCTTCGTGGCACTCCTGGCTACCTGCCAGAAGCATTACAAAAAACAACTTTTGACACTTTTGAACTAAACACAAAAAACCCAACAGCAATGGGCTGCGGGTTAGCACCCAGGAAACTAACAAGTGATGATATTAGTTCAGCCATGCAAGAATATCATTACTGGAGGTTTTAATGTACAGAGTGCATTTTACATACTATTTGTTGGAAGGAGGAGAAAGAGGAAAGAGGCCCAAGCTTGGAGGTCTGTATTCACCAAGTACTACCTTCATCCTCATTATGTTAATAAACTGAGAAAAACTTAGCTGAAGTAGAGACTGAAGCCTCTGACAGGGAACAGAATTGGAAAGAACAATCAGAGACAGTTTTTCTGAAACTGTATCTTGTAATAGAAAAAGAAAATAATTCCATTTCCCTTGTGACATACTACAAAGTACCAAAGAGAAGCGGACCAGTAAAAGCCCACAGGACACCCTATGTACAGGCATCTCTGGAAATGCCTGCCCATCCAGCGCAATGCGAAGCTTCCAACTTGTCTTCAGCCTCCGCTAGTCAACCCACATGCAGCAGTACAGGAGTACATACTGGCTCAAGTTCAGAGACAGTACAGGCACATAGACACTGTTTCTACAGCCATACTGAGGGAACATTGCTCAATACAGAGGAGCAATAACAGCAATAAATCAAATCTAAACACACAATCAGTTTAATTTATCTCTGAAGATACTGAAATGGAAACAAATACTGCCTCGCGTGATCTAATCCAGCTACCGCGACTTCTGATGATGTCCCCATACAAAGCAAGTTTGAAACCCCTTCCTGCAGAACGGTTTTACACTTTATCACAGTTTATTTGTGGGAGATCTATTGACTCTGATGAAGTCTGGAGACAACTTATAACACATTCCTTTTAAGCTGATTACACACTGAAGCCCAACAACAGCTTAAGTTCTTCAGAAAGTTATCTTTGCAGCAACAAAATGTCATTAACATGTCTATGCACTTTAACCCCAAACACTTGAGGGGTTTCAGTCTTTTATGCTCATTCATTGAGGCGAGCACCCATTGGAACAAGACTGTGATTAATGGTGTCATGAATTTCCTAGCATTGTCTAGGAGTTCTGACCTGCTATCTACAAGCTCCATCCAAATTTAACATGACTGATGGTCATGATGACCTAGAACTATGAATATATTATTTAGTCTCCATCTAACTGATAGGCTCCTTGCACCCCAGCCCCAGTTGAAAGAAGCACTCAAAGTCTTATTACTCTACAACATATGCTGAGAGGCCTCTCCAGTTACAGAACACTCTTAAACCTCTCTTTTCCAAAAAGCCACCCAGAACACATTAGTAAGGAACTCATGCTTTCAGGCTCTTGACCTCTTTCAGTAAAGATTTTCTTAGCTTCTAGTAAAGCATAAAGGTTAGAGCAAATTCTGCTAGCTATTTAAAACAGTAAAATGTTACTGGTGTTCCAACAGATTATAGATAAGGTGTTTTGCACAAACTCCCTCAAACAGATGCCACAAAAACTAGGAAAGCATACTAGGAAAATATGCTTGCCTATTTTATGTGTTTCCCCAAGTAGAATCATAGAATCATTGAGGTTGGAGAAGACCTCTAAGATCATCGAGTCCAACCATCAAACCAACACCACCATGCCCACTAAACCATGTCCCTAAGCACCTCATCCACTCGTCTTTTAAATACCTCCAGGGATGGGGACTCCACCACTTCCCTGGGCAGCCTCTTCCAATGTTTCACCACTCTTTCAGTAAAGACATTTTTCCTTACATCCAATCTAAACTTCC